AGAAACTTTCTAAAAGAAGGGACTAATAGCCAATAAACGTGAAAAAATGTTCAACATCTCTAATAATCAGGGAAATGCAAATAAAAACCACAATGAGATATCACTTATCTCCAGTGAGAATGGCCTTTATCAAAAAGTCCCAAAACAATGAATGTTGGCATGAATGTGGAGAGATAGGAATACTCATACACTGCTGGTGAGACTGCAAACTAGTACAACCTCTATGGAAAGGAGTATGGAGATATCTCAAAGAACTAAAAGTAGAACTACCATTTGAATCAGCAATCCTATTACTGGGTATTTACTCAAAGGAAAAAAGACATTCTGTAAAAAAGACATCTGCACTTGAATGTTTATGGAAGCACAAGTCACAATTGTAAAGATGTGGAAACAACCCAAGTACCCATCAATACATGAGTGGATTAATAAAATGTGGTCTATGTAACCATGGAATACTGCTCAAGTATAAAAAACAATGGTAAACTAGCATCTCTTACATTATCCAGGATAGAGCTTAAGCCCATCCTTCAAAGTGAGGTATCACAAGAATGGAAAAACAAACACCACATGTACTCACCATCAAATTGGTACTAACTGATGAACACTAAGGTGCTCACATGGAAGTAATATTCATTGGGTGCTGATCAGGTGAAGGAGGGGTGGGTAAACTCACAACAAATGGATATGGAATGCACTGCTTAAGGGAAGGGCACACTTATAGCCTTGGTTTGGGTGAGGCAAAGGCATTATATGTAACCAAAATGTTTGTACTCCCATAATATTCTTAAATAAATAATAAATAAGGAGAGTGAGAGCTAGATTACTAAGAGATTATACAGGGTCTTGAATGCCAGGCTAAACTGTCTAGATTTTATTCTACATGCACTGAAGAATTAACAGAGAGCTCAGGCCAAATATATTCAAGTCAGTTATTAGAAAAATTATTTTGACTATTCTTTGTTGTGTGTAGTCTAGAAGATGTAATAGTAATAGGTGCAAAAAACTGAAATTCTTTTTAAAAAAATGGTAACAAATGTTCCTGCCACTGCTTCTCAGAAAGTGACTTCATATCATACTTATTGTGCAAATTACACTGTGTACTTTTATTTTTCTAGTTTACTTACGTAGTGCATTTGGTGCTAAAATTGTCGTTATGGTTTAAATGAGTTTAAAATGTTTGAGGAAGTTTCATCATCCCTTCACAATGTATGCTTCTTGCTGTTATTTTTATAGGAATTAAGTGTTGTGTAAAACGGTTACCATATCACCTATTTCCTGAAAAGTGCTCAGAAGTGTGAGAACAATATGAATTTTTTTTTAAAATTTGGGCTAGTTCAATGGTTGGTCTAATTTCATACATCTGATATAAATCACCTAAAAAACTCAATGAATGTATTGAGTGGATCCTCAATTAAAATGAAAAAATTTTCTATACTCTTCTACTTACTGTCCTCAATAGAAATCTTGGTCCAGTAAATTTTGTTAATACATTCTCCCTTTTGTAATCCAGAATAAGACGCTGCTAAGAATGCTTGCCCTGTGATGACCTGTATCTTGTTTTCTGTTATGGAGTCATTTGATGATTAATTGTGAACTGGTTTTTGTTTAGCAACTTTTTTTTTTTTTTTTTTGAGACAGAGTCTCACTTTGTTGCCAGGCTACAGTGAGTGCCGTGGCATCAGCCTAGCTCACAGCAACCTCAAACTCCTGGGCTCAAGTGATCCTCCTGCCTCAGCCTCCCTAGTAGCTGGGACTACAGGCATGCACCACCATGCCCGGCTAATTTTTTCTATGTATATTAGTTGGCCAATTAATTTCTTTTTTTTTTTATTTATAGTAGAGACGAGGTCTTGCTCTTGCTCAGGCTGGTTTCGAACTCCTGACCTTGAGCAATCCGCCCGCCGCGGCCTCCCAGAGTGCTAGGATTACAGGCGTGAGCCACCACGCCCGGCCTGTTTAGCAACTTTTAACTTGAACTTTACCCTAGATTTTATGTGGGATTTATGTATTCTTAGTACTTTTTAAATTGAATGAAGTCAGATATATTGGAGAACCCACACTAAACACCAAAGCTGTGCCATATGTTAGCAGATACAACAGACATTTAGAAAAAGCTTTAGAATTAAACACAATTTGACTTCTAGCTTAGCTGTATGATTTGAGGCATGTTATTTTCTTCTCTCAGTTCCAGTTTCCTGTTATGTAAAATATGAATTATAATAATTCTCTTATGAAATAGATTATTGTGGAGCTTAAAGGAGATGTAATACTTAGGACAGAATTTAAATAGAGTGTGCACATATTGTTATTGTTAGTATCGAATTGTTGTGTACATCCTGAATTCATCTAAAACTCTCAATGAGCAGTTCTCTGAGATTCAGTTTATACCTACAAAGAATAAGAGAATTATGATAGAAAAGAGCTATAATAGTTATCATTTTTATGATGATGACATTGACTGACTTTATAAAATGGAACATAGGAATCTATCTTAAAACTTAAAAACAATAAGCCAGAGGCAAATCACAGTTGTATAGACTGTGAGGGCAGCTAGTCCAAAATTAAGATGCAATCTTCATATATAAGTACTTCTCACAAGTCTTTGAACTGAGAGACAGAGAGAAGACCCAATGATATTAAAAACAAACACTGGAGGCTTTATCATCAAAGCTCAAGCATATTCAAGGAAAATGATAGAATGAATTCTATACTGGGACATAAAAAATTAACTGGGATTTCCTAAATTAAGGCATAGCTGATGATGATTTTAAGGTCAGGATGAATACATAACTGTTTTTAAGACATAGCACTGGGGACATTAAGCTAACAGCATCATGTGGAGGCTACCAAATTCTGTTTGTCAAGGACAGTAAGTAGCATCAGGCTTTTGCTTTATAATTGTGTTTTTCATAAAAAGCAGAAATTTTATATTTGTAAAATTCCACCTGAGGTTATAAAATTGGGAGAATTAATGTCCCACATCAAAAAAAAAAAAAAAAGATTCCAACTGTTGACTATAAAGCTAATAATGAGAGATTTACTCTTAAGTTTGGTCTCTGCTTTGTATACTCTGGCTTCGCAAACATTACAGTAGCATCTCCTGGGTAAAATAAAGAAACTTGATTTAGAGTCCACACATTCTCTTACCCATTAGACACACATTCAATTGCTCCTGGGAGGATATTATATGACATCCAGTGTTCATTGCTGCAATATAATTGGGAGAAAAGTAGAATGGAGGAGGAAGAAGACAAATAAAGAGAGAAATTTTGTGTTTAAAGCTCAGGTTTAGAGCGTCAATATCTATTATTTTAGTTCTGCAAATAAAATTATCTGATGGTTTTAATAGAGGCATGGCTAAAGGACTTTATGTAGTACTTCAATAATCTGCAAAAAAATCATTTAAATACATCAAGAATCACTAGAATAAAGACCTGAGGAAATGTTCCTGTATGAAATGCACATGGACACTAAATTCTAAAGAGCTGAATTATTATTATAATATATCTAAGAAGAGACATTATTTTCCATACCAGTGTTCTTACCCCTTCTGGTGTCCAAAGAGTATAAATATATCTAAATTGTGTTTATATACTTACCAAAGGCCATGCATAAAAAAATCATTGATGTTATAAGGCCCCCACTATTATCAAAACACAATTATATATCCAACTATATATAGTGGATGAGGAATTATAATATTTGCTGACCACCTATATAACAAGGAGTGCAAACAGTGATACATCTTCCCTGCATATAAACTTTGTGGTTTTTTTCCATTTATTTTTTATTTCTATATATTTATTAGGTACAAATGCAATTTTGCTACATCAATATATTGCATTGTGGTGAAGTCAGGGCCTTCAGTGCATCTATCACTGGAGCAATGCACATTGTACCTGCCAGGTAATCTCCCATCGTTCCAATACCTCCCCACCTTACCCCTCCAAGTCTCCATTATCCGTCATTCCACCTTTGCTTCTAAGTGTACACATTATTTAGCTCCTACTTATAAATGAGAACATGTGGTGTTTGTCTGTGTCTGAGTCATTTCACTTATGATAATGCCTCCATTTCCATCCTTGTGGCTGCAAAAGACACGATTTCATTCTTTTTATGGCTGAATAGTATCCCCTTGTGTATATATACCACATTTTCTTTAACTGATCCTCTACTGATAGACACAGGTTGATTCCATACCTTTGCTATTGTGAATAGTGCTGCAATAAACGTACAAGTATCGTTTTGTTATATTGATTTCTTTTCCTTTGGGGAGATATCAAGTAATGGAATTGCTGGATCATATGGTCGTTCTATTTTTAGCTTTTTGAGAAATCTCCATACTCTTTTCCATAGAGGTTGCACTAATTTACATTTCCACTAACAGTGTATAAGAGTTCCCTTTCCTCTGCATCCTCTCCAACATGTTGTTTTTTGTCTTTTTAATAACAGCCATTCTGATTGGTGTAAGATGATATCTCATTGTGGTTTTAATTTGCATTTCTCTGATAATTAGTGATGTTGAACATTTTTTCATATGATTTTTGGCCATTTGTTCGTCTTTTTTCAGAAACATATCTACTCATATCCTTAGCTTACTCTTTAATGGGATTATTTTGGTTTTTTTTTTTAATTATTTGGATTTCTTGCAAATTCTGGATCTTAGTCTCCTGTTGGATATATAGTTTGCAAATGTTTCCTCCTATTCCGCAGGTTGTCTGTTCACTCTGTTGATTATTTCTTTTGTTATGCAGAAGCTTTGTAGTTTAATTTAGTCCCATTTGTCTATTTTTATTTTTGTTGCCTTTGCTTTGAGGTTTTAGTCATGAATTCTTTGCCTAGACCAAGGTCCAGAAGACTTCTCTCTAGGTTTTCTTGTAGTATTTTTATAGTTTTGGGTATGACATTCAAGTCTTGATTCCATCTTGAGTTTATTTTTTTTTTCTGAACTCAACTAAAAATGGTGGATTAGGGGTAACCTTTTGGCACTCTGCTCCCAGAGTAGGAGGTGAAGAATGCGGACAGCTACACATGAATGGATCACTCTCCTGAAGGAACAGCATCGTGAATCTGAAGAGAAGCAGTGCAGGACAAGCAGTGCTGGGAAAAAAAAAAAGGTGAATTGGAGAATTGACATGTAAACTTTAGAAACATAGTTACACATGTTAGTTTGTCATAGGCAGTTGAAGATAAGAAACTCTATAAAAATATACTTTTACTAATCTAGTCATTTAACTTGCTTAAAAGTTTAAAATTTTAACATTATATATTTGAACAAGTTCTTTTGTACCTAAGGTAAGATATCTCAAATTATTCCAAGAACTGCAAGATTTCCACTTAAAGTACTGGAAATGTAAATGAATATTAATATTAATAATTTCTTATGGGGCTTAAGCTGCATATACAATTGAAATGTGTGATAACCAGTATTGGCTTGCTAGGGCCACCATAACAAAGTGCCACAGACTGAATGTCTTATACCAGGGGTCCCAAACCTATGGTGAGTTGTATAATTATTTCATTATATATATTACAATGTAATAATAATAAAGTGCACAATAAATGCAATGCACCTGAATTATCCTGAAACCATCCCCAGTTTCATGGAAAAATTGTCCTCCATGAAAACAGTCCCTGGTGCCAAAAAGGTTGGAGACCACTGTACACAACAGAAATTTATTGTCTCACAGTTCTGGAGGCTAGAAGTAGGAGATCAAGGTCCCTCAGGGTTGGTTTCTTCTGAGAATGGTAGCCTCAGGTATAGCTTGGCTTGTAGATGGTGTTTCCCCTGTGTCTTCACATCATCTCCCCTCTCTATGTGTCTCTGTGTTTAAATTTTCTTTTCTTATAAGGGCACCAGTCTCATTGGATTAGGAACCCACCCTACTCCAGGATTACATCATCTGAATTGTAATTATATTTGCAGCATCTCTAGTTCCAAATAAGATCACATTCTGAGGTACTGGGGATTAGGACTTCAACATACCAATTTGGGAAGTTGTACAATTCAGCCTATAACACAACTATTAGTTAAAAGAGTACTGAAAACTTTAACATCTCTTATTACCCAATTATTCTTAGTCTTACAATAATCATATTGAATTAATACACTCAATTTTTAATATTTTATTTACAGATTATAAATCTATAAACATAAATTATAAATCCTAGCTTTATATCTATGTGGCAAATTACTAAATCCGCAGAATTTCTAATGATAACATCACAGAACAGTAGCAGAAGAATCCTTAAAAACATTAAAAACAAACTCTTAATATATATTAGCATAAGTTTTCATTTAATGGCTACCAAAGGTATATCAACATCTACGTATGGGACACCTTTATAGCATTTTAGCAAGTAAGAAATCTATATAACCAACAGATGTATATAACTGAGTTTGGCTCAAATGTGTCATAGTTGTGATCATCACTCTTTCAGAGGTCCATTTAGCACTGCCTAACTGAGCGTTTTTGGTAAATACCAGGAACTGTTGTGATTTCTTTATGTGGATTGTCTCACTTACTATATCAACTCTATAAGAGATGTTACCACCACCACACACTCCCTGATTTAAGGAAATGTGGCACGCGGAGGTTAATTAACACAGTTTTTTTCAGAGGCCCATAAATCTCTTGAAATTCTTCAGATGTTAGAGATTACAACATTTTAGAAAAACTAGGCATGCTCTCCTATTTTTCTCTGAAATCTAATTTTCTCTAAAACCCTTCTAGCTATTTCTGATTGAGAAAATTATATGTTAATTTTTCAGTTTGTAATATTACATTAATACATTTTTCGAATATAACAGGCAAAAAGTTGGGCAATTTAATTCTTGAAAAGTTTTTATTTCTCTTTCAAAGTAAATTATGAGATGATCCAAGTCTACATTACTTATCTGGGTGATAAATTAGATTATGTAATCTGCAATATCAAAAGGGCTGGAATATTGAAAGATAAAGTTTTTAAATGAGGAAGGGTCGGCAGCTATGGTAGAAGTTGTTAGTGCATACTTTCCTGTCTTCATATATTAGGTGGGACCTTGTGACTAGACAAGAAATATACTTGCATGTGTCAAACCACTAAGTGTCTGGTGTATGGCTGTCACCATAGCACAGCCTAATATACGTTGACTAATATAGAAACACCAGACTTGAGGCTTTATTTGTTTATTCATTTATGTGTCTGTTACTTTTGAGCCTCTTTAGCATTTGTCAAAGAATTTAACAATTCTACCTCCACAGTCACAGAAGTCTAACACACAGGTGACTTCTTACAGAAATCACTTTGGCAACACCAAAAAGAAAAGGCCGACTCGCATAGCATGAAATTCAATCTTCACAACTATCATAAATGTATGGGACAGATGGAGAAACAAATTGCCATCAAAAAGTTGCCAGCTTTGACATTCCTGGGACAAAAAATACTTCCAAAAGGGCATAACTCCACCAGCTTTGAAAATCTGGAGGACCAATTCACTTCATCACCCTCATCAAATTGTTAGGAATAGTACAATGTTCACTGGAATAAAACTAATGGAGAAAACAGTGAATGTTCTGGTACTTTTGTGCAAATTAGGCATTTTATTTTAACTTTAGAATTTTGCACAACCAAAAAATTCTTTTGAATTAAAAAAAACTGAAAGTTGACCAATCCAATTACTCTAAATCTATTTTGTCTAAATTATATAGTTGTTTACAGAGACTACAAAATTTCAGATATCATACCTGGAAAGAATATATTAATTACAACTTGGATATTTGCTGAAACATTTGAACTGAATATCCACTAGTATTGCAGGATCTGCAGTTTGACTGCCTTTGACTTCCAGTTTCTCTGCTAAATAGGAATGCAACTTGGGGCAAATAAATAGCTTTGCTTATTATAAAATGAGGATTATTTCCACTTTATCCTGTAGCTAGGCTTAAAGGAGGTTTATGTATGATAAGCTATTTATCACAGCTTGACACATAAAATGTACACAGTATCTTTTAATTAATATTACTATTATAAGGAATATACATAAACAGTTAAATTAAAATACAAGTTACTAGAAATTTATAATCCTTTTAATTTGTGCTGGAGCATGTACACTGCATTGGAGAATACCTTAGGCTCCTGGGATTGACTACTGAATTCAAATATCTGTTCTACATATTCCCTATCCTGTATACTTGGGTGAATTATTTAATTGCCCAATTTTTTAGTTCCTTCCTCTGTAAACTGAGGTAAATAATACAACATATCTTAGAAAAATATAGGAAACAAATGCAAAAAACCATGAAAATTCCTTTTATCACAAAATGATTATTTTCCCAAAGTCAGGAGGGATATCATATAGACATCATTTCTATTTAGAAAATTGTTATTAAATTGAAATACAAAAATGTTCATTTGAGGTGCTAGTTCACCATTGTGTTTTGTAGTTGAGTAGTATTCCATGATGCACATGTACCATACTTTATTAATCCATTCATGTATTCATGGGCACTTTGGTTGTTTCCACATCTTTGCAATTGTGAATTGTGGTGCTATAAACATTCGAGTGCAGATGTCTTTATTATAGAATGTCTTTTTTTCCTTTGGATAGATGCCTAGTGGTGGGATTGCTGGATCAAACGGTATTTCTATTTTTAGCTCTTTGAAGTATCTCCAAATAATTTTCCACAGGGGTTGTACTAACTGGCACCTCTTATATTATCTGGCTAGAGATTGAGCCCATCCTTCGAAGTGAGGTATCATAAGAATGGAAAAACAAGCACCACATGTACTCGCCATCAAATTGGTAATAACTGATCAACACTAAGGTGTTCGCAGGGTAGTAGTACTCACTGGGTGCCAGTCAGGTGGCGGGGTTTGGGGGATAAACCCACAACTAATGGAAGCGATATGCACTGTATGGGGAAAGCACACCCTTATAGCCTTGGCTTGGGTGAGGCAAATGTATTACATGTAACCAAAATGTTTGTACCCCCATAATATCCTCAATTAAAAAAAAATGTTTGCCCTTGTAGGCACAATTATAAATAGAAAAAAAAATGTTCATTTGGTCATTATGTTGCAATTATGCCCAAATATAATTAATACGTAGCATGTGTTAATATGTGACTCCAGTACTCAAACATAGACATCTTATTGAAAATTATTATATACTTTAAGAAACATTAAAATACCAAATATAAAAAGAAAGTTAACACTTTGTTTCTTATAGTTGCAGTATTTTGCATGGCTCATAATTGGATGTAGTAGAATCTGTCCACAATAAAAGCTTTACTGACTACATTGTAAGAAAGTTTGAAACAAAAATTAAAAACGCCTTTGCACTTTAGCATTTCAGGAGGTTACAAAATGGTGCTGAGACAATAAACACAGTTGTAATAAACTGTATTTTAATTGGGGAAGGAGGTTTTTAAAAAAGAATAGAGGTGGGAACACAAAACAGGAATGAATGCAATGTATCTTTCTGTGAGTTTCCTTTTGCTTAGGCACCACACTTTTAAGGCAGGAAAAAATTGGGAAATCAAATTTCTACTTTACCATTAATATTTTTACCAGGTAAATACTCCTTCAGTCTCCAGGAGAATGTGCACATGGCACCTATGCGTCTGATGCTTCCATTTAGGAAAAAGTTCCTGAACATCGAGTGGGCTTTATCCATGACCTCAGCCCTGCATCTATGTACCGCCCCAGCTCCATCCCAGGAGCCAGGGTTCCTAAGTGTTTTCCTGTCCATTGTGAACCCCAAATTGTTCCCCTCCATGCACCCAAAATACAATAGTGGTTTGTTCTTATCTTTGTTGTTTGAATTGTGGATACCAAGAAAATTAACATATTTCCATTTCCCTTGGCTTTTCCTACTTATTTTCAGGGAAATAAATTTTGAGTAACAACTGCTTTGAGTAACAACTGGTATCCCCCAAAGTCCAAAACTGTACCCCCAAGGATTGAGTGGGAGTCAATATGCTGTCAAATTTATTGCTCAGCTCCAATTAAGCCAACTCCAAGTGAAGCCAGGCTCAGACTCTTCTCTCTAGACTTCCTACTTCCACCACCTGCCATCAGGAGCAGGTCCACCCTACACTAGGACTAACTGAACCCATCTTCC